AGAACAAAGCTTATTTTTGTTGAAATGTTGCTTTGAACTGGAGTGCCAGGAATGTTGTTCTGTACAACCCAAACAACCAGATGAGTTATGAATGGCCAACTCCAGTTAGAAACGAGCATGTACAGACTTTATAGTTCAGGTTAGCAAAATGTAGTAGCTGCTGATGCAGTCAGTGTTGTATTTTAATGGCACTGATGTGCACCTTGCTAACCTGTTGTGGTAAAGTCATCTCCCGATGATACTTGTGTAGATACTGAAGCATACTTTCTGTACGGGATGTGCTAGTCTCTTGTTTAGTATCATGATGGAGCTTCTCAGATTTTTTCATTCCATGGGATTATGGAGTGGGAAAGGCTGAGAACTCTGTGTGAAGAAGTGAGAGTGCTAACTACGCCTTGTTGTAAAGATAGTCTGCCACTGAAATGCTGGTATGGAAACCTGATTTAACATGCAAAGGTCTTCAGGGTGTGATAACTTTGAAGCAAGTCTTGTAATTCATGTTAATAAACACTTAGTTGATCATAATTAAGCTATTAAAATGTACTTTCTGTGATAGAATAAGCAATGGTACAAAAGAAATGGCTATAATGCCTTCATGTAAAAAATAAAGGGATGTACCAGTAATGTTTGTGAACAAGTGAGGCTTTAATAAATCCCCCCTTCAGTCTTTTATCTTTCTTAGCTTCCTGTTTTGACAAGAACCTTCTTGAAGTGTAAGGCATAGCTATAGGAACTTCACTTGTTTTCTTGCAATTCATTTAAAAAAAACCAACCAAACCAAACAAAACCAAAGAAAACCCCAAAAAACTTCCTCTCAATGCTATCTTTAATGTGGTATAACTTAAATGCTTGATAGAGATAATATATTGATAGAAGCAATAGTAACGTAAGCAAGTTGAATGACTTTGGTGTGGAGTTTTTATGTATGGATTAGTTACGCTTCCTGTGCACCTGAGCTAAATTAGTTTAGTTCCTCCATGAAATCAAAAGTTAACATAGCAGAAGACTGAAAACAGTGTTGGTGTACAATCACTGTGAAGTTGGTCATGGTAGTTTGAAATACTGTCCCTTTGCCAGAAATTGCCATACCTGCTCATTTAAGCTGTTACTAAGCATGTTTTGGGTTAACTAGACTATGAATTTGTAATTAATTGGATGGAGTTATACTTAGATAGTCCGTGGGTGGCAACCTCTGTTAGAGGCATGGTAAAATACAGGGAATAGTAACATCATGTCTGTTTAACCAGTGATTGAGGCTGAGATCAAGTTTCTGTTTTCAAGAGACCATACACTATCAGGCTCCAGATGTGTGTTAGCTTTTTTGTTTTCTAGGAAGATTAGTATTTGAGCCATTTCAGTTCTTGAACGTGAAAAAGAACATTGTTCTTGGGTAATTTAGAAGCACCTGTAGTTTTAGCCTCCTACTTGTCATATGATTAGAGCTTAAAAAAGGGACTAGTCACTTTGCAAATTACTCTTTTGAGATGCAGGAATTCTAGATGAAAGATAGTTGATGGCTAAAAGCATGTTTTATATCATGAGGTATTCATGGTCTTCAGAAAAACATTGTTGGCAACAACAGTGTGAAATCTGAACCAAGACAATCATCCCCTTCCCTATACACACAGTTCTGAGGTGGTGAAGCTGGGTAACCTCTCAGGCACCAGTGGACATTCTCCTTGCCTACGTAAAGTTGCCCCCAATGTGTATTTATTACTGCTGCTCATTTGATAAGGGGATTTTTGTGTACACTGTTTTAAATTCATCCATTTCTGCATGCTTTAAAAACAAATACCTTTCCCACACATACTAACATACATAATCCTTTGCTTATAATCGACACTTAAAATCTTTTCAATTCAAGCAGAATTGAATATCTTTTCTAGATACTTGAGTTACTTAATGTAGATTAAAAACTCTTCGAGTGTGTGTGCGTGCTCTTCTGTGTGGCCTGGCCTGGCCTGTTGTAGGCTGAGTCAGATGGACGGACTGCACATGCAAACATAGATAACACTCCTCTTTAGTATGCTTTTAATATTTTTTTAGAGGAGAACAGGTATGTTAATAAAATCATGGTGTGTTTTCCTTACTGATAAGATTCAGTTAAAAATATTTCTCTTGATAGCTACCTCTAGCTGAAGTTATCTAGAGGGAGAGTAAACAATCTTTTTCAGCTATGACTTTCACCCACGTGTCTCTCCTGAACTCGAGTGCAGATTCAGTATTGTAAGAGGTGTAATTTTGCTTGTTGGTGATCATGCAGGAAGAAAAGTCAGTCTGATCTCAGACTTCAGGCCAAACTTGCAAAGCCAGCAGGGAATCTATTACTATAACTCTGAAAAGAAATTTATTTCTTCTGGATGCTGTTGGGACCTTAATATTTTGACAGCTATGTCACTTCAAAATTTTCAAGAGTAAAGTTCTTTAAGAAAGTCTTTTAAATTAAGTTTGTGTGACAGGAAATAGGTAAAGTTTGAACACCCAAACGGAACTTTTCTGGCTGGTGAACATGCACTGCATTTGACTTGGGTTCTTTATAAGGTTACTAATTCTTAAGCAAAAATTCACAGCTAGTGAATTAAAATGATTTAATTTAAAAAGACTTAATTTACATTGTTTAAAAGCCTACTTAAATAAGCATTTCATCAGCTGTGGTGCTGTGTGGTAATCTGATACTTAGGGGTTAGATATTGCTCCATACGCTGGTGTATGTTTGTGGTGAAGGTAGATATCTTTTCATGCCATTAGGCTGCAAATCTTGCCTGTCAGAAGTTTGAGTTACTGAACTGCAGATGAGGTGTTTCTGCCTGGACACAGAATAGATGTCAACCTTTTGTTGGGTTATAGGCAACATTGAGAACAATGCTAAACTTTTTGGTATGTGCCACTTGAAAGCTAATGTAGGTTTCCAAAATAATATTTGGGAGCATCACCATAAGCCATTGACGTTTAGAAGGTACTTGTAATTGTTTCAAATAACTTTTCTGTATTTATGTATTGGTTTAGCCTCACAGTTCTTGGTGGGGTATTTTTAGTGTACAGAGAAGACAATGTAAGTATGGGTAACTGATTTTAGAAGGCATTAAAAAGATGAGCACAAAAATAGCCCTCTCTGAATATCTTTTTTGTGTATATCATCCTATGCATTTTTGAGAAGAGGGATTGAGAATGATACTATACCCAAAGCATTTTCGGTTTAACTAAACCCCCTGTGCCCTGCAGTGTTTCAAATTTGACATCTTGCAGAGGCTGTCTAGCAAGCAGACATCTAGATGATTTCTTTTGTTTGTTTTCCATGATTTTTGTGATCTATAGAAACTTCATATTCAGTTAGTGTTTTGAGACTTCAGTTAATACCTGTAGTGATAGGTAAGCATTATTGTAGTCTTCAAGTAGCATTTTTTTTCTTCTGTAATTAGGCTAGAGTCACGGTTGCTTTTAAGTAAACTGAATTGGTTAGCAATTTCTCTTCCTCAGGTAACAGAATGTGTGTGTGTATATATATATATGCTATGTAGCTATGGAAAACTTCCTTTCTTTTCCTCACTAATTGCATAAAGAAATGGCATCTGACAGAGAAACAACGTGAGGTGACAGAGAAACAATGTGAGGCTGCGTTACATGGCTAAAATTGCCCTTCAAGTCAAGACAGCTTTAGTGAAATCATTACTTTTCTGTCTGAAGAAAAATGATTATTTTTTTCTTCCTTGCTCAAGCTTGCAGATCTTTATAGAATATCTTCCAAAAAGCTCATGAGCTGTAGTCTAGAAGGGATGGGTATACACGTGACTGTTAGAGGTGTGGTTATGTTTGGAGACTCGTTTTGCAGCATAGTAAATAGCTTGAGGCTTCAATGTTAAAAAAAAACCAAACCAAACAAAAACTGTTCTTGAATCATCTTCATACCTGTATTCCAGTACTTAATTGCATTGCTCTGACCATGCTGCATATGTCTATCTGGTTATCATTTCACTGCTGATCATTGACTTCTTCCCTATCTTTTGAAAGCCTGAGGCTCATTTCATTTCTGAACTTAACAGCTGCTCATCGTAATGTTCTCTGCTGGGTAGTTGAATTGTCTCTTGTCAGCCTTTTTATTTGAGAGTACTAAATATCAGCTGACTGGCTAATTGAGAAATTGAAACTGTTTTTAATGAACTGGGCAAAGCCCGCTGGAATTGTCTGAGAAGGTAGTTGTGCATTTTTCAGTGCACATATTTGGAATCAGTTTGTTAATTCTGAAAGCAAGTCTTTTTATTAATACAAGAACTGAAGATGCTGCAGTCATGGCTTCCTTTTAAACCAATGAGTTATATATTATCAAAAAGTAGCTGTGATTTGTAGAGCTCCTGTTTGAGTAAATCTGAAAGCATGGGAACAGTTCAGTTGCAGCTCCAAATTATAATGTGCATTAGAGTGCAATTTTTCTCTTTCTGTCCGTACGGAGTTCTGACAGTGTTGTGGGAAAGTGTTTGGCTAGTCTTATGCAGCATGTTGGGTTTGAAGGAAGACATGGCAACAAGCCAAGAAAGTGAAAATTAGCAAACAAATACTGACTTTTTTTAATACATTAAGCTACCCTGCAGGGTTATGTGTTCACTACATTTTAAACGATTGTTTTAAAAGTAGAGGAATGGGAAATGAAATTAGCAGTAGCTCTTCTGATTTTTCATCGAGTTATCGTATCCCCGTACATTCTAGCTGCTATGGTAACCACTTAACTTACTGACAATCAGCAGATAAAGTTTAGACATCGTTATGTACATGAAGTACATTTTAAAAAAGATTATGTAAATTCTTCCATGTACATTTTCCACAGTATTAAGGATTGTACTTTCTTTTGAAACTTAGATCAGCTGCATCCAAAAAGTATTAAATAAAACTTTTGATACAGGTCATTTGCAGCATGTTTACAAATTAGTTTAGATAAATCATGCATTGTCCTACAAACTAGTTATTTCTGGCTTATTGTAATATAGCTCCTGAATTTTTTCCAGCAGCATAATAAAATGGCTAATCAGGTGAATGGTAATGCGGTACAGTTAAAAGAAGAGGAAGAACCAATGGATACTTCCAGTGTAACTCACACAGAACACTACAAGACACTGATAGAGGCAGGCCTCCCACAGAAGGTGGCAGAGAGACTTGATGAAATATTTCAGACAGGTATAATATGCATTTCTTGTTTCTGACTGGTTATGAAAGTGAGGGCATACCATTTTCAAATTTTTATAGATTAAGGTTTAAAAATTCATTGTTTTTGATCTGTGTAGCTCTGAATGTTTTGCTACTTTGACTTCCCTAAAGGCAAATTGGGTTTGACATTGACTAATTACTTGACACATCCTTAGTGTTGTATGTGATATCTTAGTTGTTTTTAGGGCACAGAGAACTAGTTTCTTAGACGTTGTCAAATAAAGATGTATGTTTGAGCATACTAAACTGTACATATTTTTTTTTTTTGTTCAATCCGAATCATCATTTTGCTTTTACTTTTCTACTGTCAACTCCTCACAGTGATTCTTAAACACTCAAAGGCTGGATAGGTGACTTAGTGAGGGAAGCAACGAGCTTGTCTTGCCTGGGACTACATTTGAATTGAGTCTGCCTGTGGATTTTTTGTTCTCTCTAGTTCTGAGTGGACAGTTTAATCCATGTTGGTTATAACACTGAAATGTTCAGTTTGACACTAACTGCTTTTCAACAAAGTTGAGGACTAAGCTATCTAGCAAATTGAGTAATACCTTGCTGGTAGCAAGTGGTCTCTGCAACTTCTAGAGAGGTTTCTTTATATACAAAGGTTTTTCTATTTTATTTTTGTAACCCCCTTATTATTTTATCCTATAGACAGAGGCTTCCTTTTGCTCTTTAGAGTGTGGTCTGTGAACAGATTTACAAGAAGCAGTAGAACAAGCACTGATCTTGAATGCCTTGGTGGCAAGATGACAGTTTTTGTTCAAAAAGAGTCAAAATTCCACTGATCAAGTGAAGGCAGTTCAAAAACAATACCTTATCAATCTTCAGTATGATACTCTGGCTCACGTGGGTGATGTCTTTTGGATGTCATTCACAGTGAGCTTTTATCAAGCCTTTACCAGCTTTTATTGGCTTTAGACATGCACTTTCTAACTGTGGGTCACAATGATGTGCACTTGATGGTTTGAGAAGGTATAAATGCCTGGGCAGAGGAACTTGTGGGGCAGTAACATGTGTTGCAGTTAGGTTGTGTTGTGAGGAGTTCTCAAGGGATTTAAAAGCTTTTCAGCCCAGAACCTGACTACCTAGTATAATTCCACTGCATGAGTAACCTGAAAACATTTATTCACACTTCCTTAATGCCACTTGGAGATGTTTGGATTGTGCAGGGGTTTGTCAGTGAAGCAAACTACTTTTGACACCCGAGCTAAATTTCGGGTTGAATTTAGGGATTTTTAATCTGCTGAGGTCTTACATGAAAGATACAGGTGCCTTCCAATATGCAGGATCACTTCTGAAATGTAGTCCTTGGGCTTGGCACTACTGTGCATTTTTGAAATCCAGTAGCAGTTAAATAATCTGTGTATTTTGGAGATCAAGCTGTTGCAAAGTGTGTGGAGTTCTTGGTATCTGTTCTCAATTTTGCTGTGTAGTTTTAAAAGTGCAAATCTTAAAGTCTATACTTCTTATGCTCCACAGCTTATGCAAGTGCATTACAAAGGAAAGAAATAACCTGTAAGGATCCTTAAAAAGAAAAAGTGCTTCAGAACTGGTCCAGTGTTTCTTGGGGGAGTCTGTACCTGTAAAATTAACATTAGCCTTTTCGGGTACATAGCAGGGCTCGAAATAATACCTTTTTGAATTCTGGCTCTTGGAACTGCATAGAGCAACAAAATCAGTAAAAAAAAAAAAAAGAATAATTGTTTTAGACATACAGGAAGTCCACTGATTTTTTTTGCATTTTGAAGTTGGAGCAAAGAGTGAACAAACGATTCTACTTCCTAATGTTTTGTGGGGTAGAGTTTCATAAGTATTTGATCATCAGTTAGGTAGCTCCTTTTTCACATACAATGGGATACCTGTAATGTTCACATGTCAGCTTAGTCTAGAACAGCTCCACTCAAGAGAAGGAAGTGTGAAACTTAAAATGAAAGGCAAACAAACAAAATCCAAATTATTAGAAGTGAGCCAGAGTTCATTGTTTCAAACCCTGGTGTGTAATACTGCTTTTATGCAGCAGATTGGATTCCTGAATGTTAGAAAACTGTTACACGTGGGGTATAATCTTGCACGTCAGTTAGTGCTTAGGTATATACATTTTAATTTAACTTTTTTCATTGTTGTACTCATGTTCTTTCATATACTTGTGTAGGAATATGTAATTATATTAAATGTATAATTCTGTTGCTATGGAACTTAACTTTTTGACTTTAAAAGCAAACTGCATAGTTCTTGGTTTGTGTGAAATTCAATAGAAATCTGTAACTTGTTTGTCTTTAACTTTTAGGGTTGGTAGCTTATGTCGATCTTGATGAAAGAGCAATTGATGCTCTTAGGGAATTTAATGAAGAAGGAGCCCTCTCTGTATTACAGCAGTTTAAAGAAAGTGACCTGTCGCATGTACAGGTAAGGTGAGAGCTCCAGGAATGTGAGCACATAAGTATAAATAGTGTTCTGGCACTATTGGCAGGAGAGATGTAACTTGGAAATTCATTGATGTTGCTGTATTCTTATATTTCAAACCCAAATCACAAGCCTGTTAAAAATTGCCTTAAATGTGTAGGTATTTGGGTGCAACGCAAAAGTTCCCAGATAACAAAAATGAGTGTGCAATTGAGAAAATAAGGTAAAAATACTATCTGGAATCTGATGGATTTTTTCAGGTTGACAAGTTTGTTCAATAAATTTTTATATTTTTCTATAGGATTCTTTTGACATTTTGTTTATTGCATTGGCTTGATATAGTGACCTCATGGTATGGAGTGTAAGATTCGGTGGATTCCCAGGGCTTGTCATACACACAATTGAATTATTTTGTAAATTGTATCTACAGAACAAAAGTGCATTTTTATGTGGAGTTATGAAGACCTACAGGCAAAGAGAGAAACAAGGCAGCAAAGTACAGGAATCAACGAAGGGACCAGATGAAGCAAAGATTAAGGTAACATTTAGAAAATACTGTCTATTCTGTACTACCTGATAGGTTACCTGTATGCAGACTGAAGTAATTTTGGATGTACTTAAAAAGCATCAATACTACCTGGATAAGTATACTCACACTTGGCCTTAAAGAAATGTATGCATGACAGAGATTCAAAAGAGAGAGTGCTTGTTTGAAATGAAGATCTTCCTGGTTACACAGTTGCCAAAATGCATGAAATTAATGTTATGGTTAAGGTCTATGAAAACATTGATATCTGTTGAAGAACTATCTTAGTTGTCCTTTTATATTAAAGCTTTTATGCTCTCATAAAATTACTTTGAGACTGATTGGACATTTCAACAAGGTATTAGTACATTAAGAAACTCTTCCGTTGTGCAAAAACCTAAGTACAGAGTGGGTGAAAGGAATTGCCTGATGTCCTGGAGTTCTTGGGGTACTACATAAAAAACGGAAAATAAGGGAAAAGAAAAATGAGTTATTTCCCGTGACCTTGTAGTATGAAACAAATGTTGCTGCTTGTGGTGGTTTTTTAAACCCCCAAAATAACAGGTTTTTTTGTAGGTTCTGTGTGTCCATATATACCTTGTTATCAAATATGGCAAGGAGCAGATAAGGAAATGCTTACCCTAGGACACTTTTTTATTATTTATATTTTAACCCGCTATTCTCCCCCTGTAACTAATGTGACAATTTTTTTCAGGCTTTGCTAGAGAGGACTGGTTACACTTTGGATGTAACTACAGGACAAAGGAAATATGGGGGCCCTCCTCCAGATACTGTATATTCTGGTGTTCAGCCTGGTATCGGAACAGAGGTTAGTATATACAGACTAATCTTATGACTTTTTTTGTATGTGTGTGCAAACTGATAAGTAAGAAATACTTGAAAATAAACTGTATTATAAGTGAAAGTTTTAAGTATTGTAGAGGAGAGCATTCTTCTGTGTGTGTCTTAATCAGTCTTTCTTAGTCCTCAGTATTCTGCAAAAGACAGGATAATAGGTCGAGGGGGGGGAAGCAGGTGGAATATACCAGGAAAGGCTAAGTAAAATTTCCTAAAATGTAAAATAGATCGTTAGATTGTCAGACTTCACAGTCCACCCCAGAGCTTATAGTCCATCACTTAAAAAGTGACCAATGTAGGTATTACTGTATAGGTAGGTAAAAGCGTGACTCAAAGGTATTTGACTCTGTTTACAACATAAATGGAATTTAAGTGACAGTAGCAAGGTTTATTTCATGCAATGTGCTGAAAGTGAAAAAGTCTTCGGTATTGTATAAAGATACTCACACACAAAGTTTTGAAAAGGACAACTGAGATTAGTAATTATTAAGGTTTTGTTTATTTGCCTGTGTTTCTATCGATACGAAAACATCCTTGATGCTTTCATGGACTGACTGTGAAACTGCCACACTGAAAGAGTCATTGTAGCTTGTTTTCTTTTGTAAATTTTTGCATTTCTGCATTCAGAAAGATGGCTTAGAAGTTGTTTAACAACTTAGTGGTGTTGCCAGGGTGATTATGTGATAGTATAAAGTGTTATTTAATTGCACCATGCCTCAGTGACATTAGGAAGCGTTTCTTTACTGAGAGGGTGGTCAAACACTGGAACAGGCTTCCTGGAGATGTGGTCGATACCCCAAACCTGTCAGTGTTTGAGGCATTTGGACAATTCCCTTAATGATGTGCTTTAGGTTTTGGTCAGCCCTGAAGTGGTCAAGCAGTTGGACTAAATGGTCATTGTAGGTCCCTTCCAACTGAACTATTCTATTCATGACTGAAAATACTTGACTGATCCTACATATTTTGTCCTATCAGTGATGGTTAGCCTCTTTAGGTAGTCATGGGAAAGCTGTAAAGTTGGCTGTGCTTTAATACTATTGTATGTTTTTATACTTTTAAGTTTCCTGAAGCTTGCTAGAGTGGGTAACTTGTGGAAACTCTGTTAAGAACATAAATACTTCTGCCATGAATCAGCATTAGAGGCTGTAGCAAAGCCCAGCCAACTAGTTATAGAAACCATACCTCTACCAAATTAATTTATTGCTGACATTTTGTAGGATTTAGACTGGTTACTGCTTTAGACATGCTGGTTGGTTTGACTGGCTGAGATGTTGAACATCTTGCTCAAACTGGTGTATGCTCTATTAAATTTAGTCTTCAACTCTTGCTGTTGAGCTCTGAGGCGTAGTAATCAACAACTTAAACGTGATCTTATGATTTGGTAGACTGGGCAGAGCATGTTTGAACACAAATGACTGGAGATTATTGTGGCACTTTTTTTTCCCATAATGAGGTGGATGGGGTTTTTTGAGGGGTTGGTTGGTTGCTTTTTTTTTCCTTAAGCTTTTGAGAAACACTTCTCTTTTGTCCTCAACAGTTCTGATTATATAGGAGTATAAATGCCTCTTTTCTAATATTGTGGGTAAAAATATGAAAAAACACAAAATGTATCCCTTTGGATTGTGGCAGTAAATCTTTTGTGTTTGAAGCTTATTTAAATAATACTGAAGCTCTGATAGCTTGTGCCAGATCAGATATGTTAATACCAGAGCTGTCAATGATGTCTGTAATGGCAAACTTCTGATTTTTAAGGATACCCAAGTACTGTTACTGATGTCAAGAAGATACATGCTAGGTAGACTTCTTTCTCCCAAGATGTATCAGATCTTTTTACTGTAAATATTTGTATACCAACTAATTTGTCTTTTTAAAACAGAAAGTGGAGTTCATTACATGTTAACTGTAGCTTTAACTGTCTTTCAATACATAGTTGAACATTGTGCAGTAAAACTAAAGTATTGATAATTAATCTTATGGATGTTCAGCGTGTTGAACACTCGCAAATTGTCACAGTGAACACTTTGCTGAAAGGATTGTGTGGGTGAAGCTGTCCAATGTATTTTTTTCAAGTGGGTGGGCTCTGAGAGCAGCTGGACCTTTTTGGAATGTGATTCTGTAATAAAGACAAAGTAGTTACAGCTGTGTGGAAGCTTGGAGGAGAAAATAATTGCAATAGGATTTGATATTAAACTTGAGTATTTGTTTTATTTAAGGACTTGCCGTTCCAGTGCTTATGGTGAGGTCACGTGATGTTGATACTTGGAGACGTTTATGGGAGTGTTTATTGGATGAGAATGGAAGAAATTATTTGGGTGTTTCCTTGTGTCCTTACACTGACTTTGTCATTTGCATCTGCAATGACTAGTAGCTGCTTATCCTCAAGGGGCTTGTACAGCGCTCCTTTGTTTTGCTTAAAATTTCTAAGATCTCTTTTCTCTATGCCTTTTATTACCTCCTGTTACACCAACTATTCTTTTGAAAGATGGTGGGAAGAGTTTTAAATATTTTATTTTTTTTTTAAATATAGAGATTTTTTTTTTTTCCTTTCAAAAGAAAAAGTCTAGTCAGTAAGCATATTTGAAAATTCAAGATCATGATTGAATCTGTGCATCTTGCTAGCAAGCTATGAGCAAACTTTGGTTTGATTATGAAAATACTTGAACTGTGTATTTCCTCACTTACCTGTCTCTAGCAGTTTGGTTTGTAGTTTATTCTAAACACTTTGAACACTTTCAGTCACACTGTCGTGACTAGTCTTTAATACGGGAGTTCTTTTGAAGATTCTTGTATAAACCACCAGATTAGATTTAAGAAAATGGTCACTTCTTGAATGTCTTTCAGTTTATAGATTAGTTTTGCATCCTTTGAGATGCTGAAGCTCTTGTGTACACCTTCAAGAAGCATCACAGTAAGGATGATTTCTAAAGGCAATATTCGTATTCCATGAAGAAAAATAAATTCCTTGATAGGGGGGAGATAATTAGAATGGGTCCTTGAACTGAAAGATATTAACATGATTTGCATAACTTCTCAAGCTCTGCTTAGGTGTGCTTGATTTCTGCTAATTGTAACTTGTTATTTTATGAAAGTGTATATGCAAGTAATGCTAAAAAAATTGTTTTGGTATTCTTAAATTGCATTTTTTTTTACACAAAACTACTTTAAGTTGTCTTATTGTTCTCTATTATAGACAGTAGTAACAGCTACATAGCAATTTCAGTATCTCTTGAAATTAAGTGCAGGCAAGACAAAGGAAGAAAATGTTATAAATATTTCATGAAATTCGGTCACAGCAAGGAGGAGTTTAAGTGTATAAGGAACAAAAGGAATTTTAGTCATAAGTCCACTACTAGTCAGGGATGATGAAGCTTTCATGCAAACAAGACGAGCATTCGGTGTTACAGGTGGATAATACTAGATGATAAATCCAACATTGTATCTGTAGTGTCTGCATTTGTGGTTAGTATCTAGTGAGGTTAAGCTGTATTTGCTAAACATGCTAAAATACATATTTTTCACTCCTGATCTTCAGTCTGCTGACTGAGGAGCTTTTAGTTGTTGAATTCAGGAAAACTGAAGGATTTTTTTT